ACATAATTAATGTGCACAAAAAAAAGGACTCGGGAGAAACCAAAGGACACTGCCTATCATCTCAGATGGAGCATGATGTTTCAGCTTCTGTTTCAGTTTCTCAGCTTCACTTTCTCGCTCTCTAGATAAAAACCTTGTGTGGGTTGAAAATGGTCTTTTTCATCAAATGAAGTTCCATCTGTTTGTTCCTGTTTCATACCAGCATGGACAGCCAACATCATTTTTTCCCAATTGAGATCAGAAATGATAAAAACATTCTTCAAGCAATATATTATCTGTTTCACATTGTTACCAGAGGGAGACTACTGTATAAATATGTCAGTTAAAAAAGCATTTACACCCCACTCAAAGTGAAAACTAGTGGTCTGTGAAAACTTCAGCTTTTTTCACCTGAATTTTACAAAATTCAGGTGTAAAATGCTCTCATTGGGCCTCCTGCAATATTTTCCCATTCTTGTCATAAATTTAACTTTACCTCCTTTTTACAAACGGGCTTCATCAGATTCAACAAACTTTCTTAACTTCAGTAAATGATCCTCAGCCAACCTGTGCGTAACAGAGCGTGCATTCCCGAGAAATGTAAGTCTGCATAATTACCGCCCCAATATGCCACATAAGGGAAATTCCCACACTTGTTCAATCCCAGAAAGGGCAATGAAAGAGAGACTTGGCAGTTTGGAGATTGCTGTTCTGCTGATTAAGAGCTGAGCAGCAGAATTAAAGGAAGAGTAAAAGCACAGCAGTGGGAAATAAATTATAAGAGCTAATAAATGATGTGTTGGCACTGTCACAGAAGAATAAAATAAACAAAAAAATTGGAAAAAAAAATATTATGAAAAGCAGAAATCAATTGATTTGAAAAGTCAAAGAAAACTACTGCTGGAGGCAATAGCTGTAAGATATGTAAATGCTTAATATGAGTTTGCCATAAAAAAGCTTTAAAGCTTTTACTTATTTAATCATTTTATTTTTACTATTGGACCCTGAAATAAAGGTAAAGAGATACAAGAAGCATTTTAGGACAACAGAAAGGCAGTAAAACCAGTTTTTTTTGTATGATCAGAGATTGCATAAATGATCTGCTTCTGTCTCCTTGAACCCCAGTCAGCCTCAGCAGATGGCCGCTCACACTGAGCCTGGTTCTGCTGGAGGTTTCTTCCTGTTAAAAGGGAGTTTTTCCTCTCCACTGTCACTACGAGCATGCTTAGTGTGAGGG